GCAGACGCACATTAGGGTTCACCTGTCAATCCACTTCTCCGACACGAGCAGAAGTAAAAAAGCCTTCGCTTGAACTTGTAAGTAAAAACAAATTCTCCAGAACCCGAAATCGCCCCGTGATGGGGGCGAGTAGGCAGTCGGTGGTAGTGGTTGGTCACAGCAGATACGTTTTTTTTCAACTATTACAAAAAACTTGCGGATTTGCTGACAGCACGCACACGTCTTTTTATGTTTCCAATTTTACGTCCTCCTATCTTTCTTTAGGTATGGCTGATGGAGACTTCAATCCCTCTGAGGTAGGTTGTTCCGTTGACTATTGTTGTGTCTTGATCGCTTTGCAGGTTAATTAAAAGCCCGAAGTAGTCCTGATTCACATTGTTTGTCTGTTTCCATTTGTCACCAAACTTGAAGCCAGCTTCATGAGCAACAAGCAACCAGGTTTTCTTCCAGACCCATTTATTGATGTTTTTAGTTTTCCCATTTTCTCTGATGTTGTAGTAACCCCCCCCCTCCCCCCACCAACCACTGGTTTTCAGTTCTTATCCAAGTGCTGTGTTTTATTTCCAACGTTTAGTTGTTTGGAGATCTTGAGGAACAGGAAACCAACTCCGGTGATCAGGAGAAACGACTCTTCCTAAAAGACAGTACGTTCGCCAGTGCTGTCACACTTTTTGCGGGGGAGGAGTGTGACATTTTATGACTTAATGGTGACGTCCAGTGGCCGGTCGCCAGCCCCCCGTCTGTACTCATGACTGTTTTATAGTGGGTAGGCTGTCCCACCGATCTTGCATGTGTATGGATTTGTGTAAACCTTCTTCAGACTCATATATAAACCAGCCTCGTAGAACTGTCCGGTAGAACCAGTTAGCTGAGACTCGCCCTTTCCTTGTACTGCTTAACGGCAAATGAGTCTTCTCTGAGAATGTATGTTTCTGTTTCTCCTTTTTAGTTCGTTCGATGCTCTACGCTTTTGGGGACGTGGAATCCCCCCTGCCGGAGACCGTTGCCGTTCTCGAAGAGATCGCCGTCCAGTACATAATTGACATGGTATTTGCGCAAGCAGAGTTTTTTTATTGTTAACCTAACTCTCATCTTAAGCAACTCGGACTGAACGTTGAGCCCGTAGCTCCAGGTTCTAATTCCAATTACTCGAGTCAAACCTAGCGGGTGGTGGCTACTTAGACAGAATTTGCCGTTTCAGCTGCCGTTTTTTTATCGGATAACAACAAATTACAAGCAACACCACATCCTTATTTACTTAGCATAAATACCTACTTATTTCGTAGGAATAAGCATGTTTAGTTTTGCTACCTTGTATAGACATTGACCACGTGACTACAAGCGTTAGACAGTCTAACTCTGACAATTACTATCACTGTCGCGTGTCGGATGCTCACTTCGACACTGTTATTTTTATACCGCTACTTCCCGCCAGCCGTCCAGCAGCGGTACTACTTGCATCCTTGTAGTGTGCTTCAATTTAAATGTACAGCAAATATGCTGTCTCATGAAACTTTAATTGAAATGCTAGCATGTTTTCGAGAAGAGGTTACCTAAGTAAACTTGTGATATTTCTAATCGTACAGCACAATCTGAGGATATATAAATCATGTTAGGATGCTGGTTTTTAAACAAACGTGGGCAAAACTGACTTGTAGGGCCATCTAAATATCGATTCCCTAACATATTTTGTGGTCAAACACTTAATTTTTGGCTAGTGAGTGTAAATGAATATTTAATTATGGCGGAAGTAGTAAAAAATATTAAATAAGATTATGCTTGTTCTAATATAATAAAATTCCATGAACATGAACTCCGATTGCGCAGGACACGGATGCTAATTGAGGGAAATTCGACCGTATGTAGGCGGGATTTAACGAAAACGGAAATCCGACCTCCTATTGGTGAACTTTAACGAAAAAAAAGTGAAAATCGGAATTTAGAGCCTCTAAAGTCAGTCCTACCCAAACTCCTTTCCGGCAGTCCGGAATAACTGTACTCTGTCAAAAATGTCTACCTAAGTAACATGAATAAATTTCTAATGTCCTTATGAGTTCAGGTATATTTTGTAGAATACGTACAATACTACTGTTTTCTGCAATATTTTTCTGGCAGATTACGTTTTGAATGTTGCATTTTATACCTGAAGCCGGAGTATCTTTTGTTTTAAAAAACTGTCCAAATACCTGAATAATTTTGAACCCAACCTGCGGTTACACCTGTATTCAGGGTCCACAAACTACAAGCTGTATGTTTTCCGCGTGAGGAAAATCATACCTTTATACACCCTATTAACCAGAGGTGATATAGTTTGTAAAAATTGGCAGTGAATTTGGACCAAATGTATCTCACTAGCAGCATTAAGAAATTGATGTTTTATTAATGCGCGGTTCACAGTCTTAAAAATTTAAATAATTATAAACTTCCTCAAGACCCTTTTTCAGGCAATACCTTTGAAGAGGACATAGTTTTCCACCGAAAATGAGTATTTGTCGACACCACCTTTCGACCTATCGGTTGACATTCCACGAGAAAGCGAATTTGTCGTAAGTCTAGTAAGGTGGCATAGATGTGTCCGTTGCAAGCCGCAACCCATGATTGAAAGACAGGCGTGTTTGGCGTGGCAGATTTGGAGACCAGCCAGACGTAGGGTTGACTGTGGTCATGGGATAAACGCTGCTCATAATAATGATAGATAAGCCGCCGCCGCCGCCGCCGTCCGTCGTGTGCCACACAATGAGAGGGCACAGCATCGGAGACCGACGTGCGAGTTAATTTGTACTAGGGCGACTTGCGCAACATCTGCCGTATTCTCTCCTCCTTCATTCACCTAATAAGGCAGTATCAGAGGG